TACTTGCTATTCAAGTTTTATTTTAGTATGAAATAATCATGATGAAGAAATAGTGAATGATGTTCACGTCTCTACTTTGTTAAATGCATCTGAATCACATTGTTGTCCTTAGCATTAAATGTCAATATTTGACTTACTCAGGTTTGGTGCGGTGCATTAAATGTCATTTGGATTTTAGATGATTAAAAGGAAACTTTTGGTACATGTGACTACCTTATGCCGGTTTCATTTTTATTCGTTTCATTTAATTTTCTAGTAGATCCTTGTCATTTGATTTTGCCCATGTTGGTTGGATTTGACCAGTAGTAAATTTAGAGCAAACGTTACCTCAATTCGTCTGCCAACCTGTAAATTTTTAAATATTAAATTATCTGACTTGGTACAAAATTGAATTAACAGTGGGAATAAAATAATAAATTTTTATCTATTTGAGATTAGTGCTCCACAGTAGGAATAAGATATTGAGGATATTAAATATTTATTTATCACGTTAAAAAACTTTTAAAGAGAAATTTTTGGTAGCGATTCGAAAACCTTTAAAAGTTTGGGTCGTTCCAATGAAAAAGGAAATTTTATCCGGAAGCCCATCGTTGGCAACTCCACGGTTAAGTGTGCTTGGCTTGGAGCAATTCTATGATGGNTGAATCACATTGTTGTCCTTTAGCATTAAATGTCAATATTTGACTTACTGATGTTTGGTATAGTACATCAAATGTCATTTGGATTTTAGATTAATAAAAGGAATCTTTTGGTAGCGATTCGAAAACCTTTAAAATTTTGGGTCGTTACAAAGGTACTCATTTTGAATTTAAAGATTTAAAAATCTTGAGTAATGGCTAGCCACAATTTTCAAAATCTTGAGGGGCATTCTACAAATTTTCCTCTCTTCTTTGATATTATACATTATAATTATTGGAAAGTTAGAATGAAGATTTATGTTTATTCAACAGACTATAATGTCTGGAAAGTTATTGAATTTAGTCCATATGTATCTAAAACGGTTATTAAAGTGGTTGGTAAACCGGATCAAATCATTCCAAAACCTAGAGAGGAGTGCGATGATAAAGATAAAAGAGAATTATCGTTGAATGTTAGAGCCAAAAATATACTTTATTGTGTTTTAGATATAAATGAATTTAATCGTATTAGCACATGTGATTCTACTTTTGATATTGGGCATGCCTTAGAAGTTACTGACTTGAGTATTAACAAAGTGAAGGAAACCAAAATAAATCTTTTGGTTAATGAAATTGAAAATTTCTTAACAAAAGAAAACGAACCTATACTGTTGATATTGTGAAGGGAACCGCTTTTAATATTGTAAATATGAATACTCGTTTCACCGTTATTATTAATGGCCTCAAAGGTTTTGATAAAAGAAATTACTAACTATGAACTTGTGATTAAAATGCTTAGGTCTTTCTCGAAGGATTGGAGCTCACTAAGGATGTTGATTGAAAACACCAAAGATATCAACATATATCCATGGGAAGATCTCTATGAAACTTTGATGACTTATGAGCTCAACAATGTCGAGATGAAGGAGAAAACGAGGAAAATCAAAGAAGAGAAAAAGTGTCAAATTGCTTTAAAGTCGGTAATTAATGAAGGCACTTCAAGCAAAAATATGAATGATGAAGAACTTGATGACCTAGTTCTTCGTGTCAAAAATTGGAGGCGTCTTCGTAACAATTGACAATTTCAAAAGAAAGAAGAAAAGGGGGAAGAGAAGTGTAATAAAATTGTTTGCTATGATTGTGACAAACTCTATCACAAGATAACCGAATGCCAAAGTAAAAAAAGAGATTTATAAATAAAAAAAAGACGAGGAAATTGTCAACACTTGCTTCATGGCTATTGAAAATGAGGTAAATTCAAATAAAAATTGTTTATATGATGAATTATCTATCTCTTACTATGAAATGCTTGAAAATTTTGAGAAACTTACTCTAAATCATTCTATTCTCAAAATGAATTTTTTTTTAATTGAAAAATGAGGTAAATAAACTTTTGGAAATTCAAAATGATTTTGAAAAAAGAAAAAGTCAATTACGATTCTTTAATTAAAGAGAATTCCTCTTTACAAGAAAACTTTTTAGACTTGACTCAAATTATTCACAAATTTACTCAAGGCAAGAAAATTTTGATTTAATGCTTGGTGAACAAAAATGTGCTTTTGATAATGGATGAATTGGATACAAACTATTTTTAAAACAAAAGTCTCTTAAAAATTTCTTTGTTCAAGTGGATTCAAAAGTCTACTAACACTAACTACCAAGAACCCAAGGTTGTATGGGTACTGAAGAGCAAAAATCGAATTATTTTTGTAGGTACTAAAGAAAATAAAAGGCAAATGGTTCTTAGATAGTGAATACTCAAAGCACATGATCAGAAATCAAACTTTATTACAATGTTCAAAAAGAAGGATGGTGCTATGTTATTTTTGGAGATAATGTCAAAATGAAAAATCATTAGCATTGAAAATGTTGATAATTATTCATCACCTTCTATTGAAAGTGTTCTATTAAGTTGATAACCTGAAACATACTTGCTTAACATTTATGTGAAAATGTTATCATATCAAATTTAGTTCATCTAAAGGCTTTACTAAGGATGC